GATGGTTAAATAGATTTTAGTATCACTTCTTGACTAACATGACCAGATGGTTCTGAACAAAGTGTCATATATAAAAACATTTGACACAAATCAACAGCAACCTCTTCAAATTACTGTCAGATTATAGTTGTCAATAGAATAGCATTCTGCCAATCCAACTGCAATTTGGTGGCTCTGCACTTGAAAGGACAGCAACCTATCATCAGTAAATATTTTTATTCTTGCTACATGCATGTTAAAATGCCTTTGAACTGTAAGATCATTTTAATTCTGTGACACTAATATCTATTCGACCACCATAGCATATGTAACAAGGTTCTTTTCAAACTCTGGATCATAAACATAAATGCTCCCCTGGCTATCACTTCTATATTTTCATTCCTTTAAATGACCAATGATGGTCAAAGCATTCAAAATATTACACACAATTTTGGCAAGTTCCTTTACAACTTTCAATCCAACATCAAATGACTTATTTAACAGTAGAGAGAACTCACCAAAAAGCTTGGACATTCCTTGTCTGTCCCGTTTAATAAAACATGTATAAACAAAGGATTGCTACTTATTTCTTTCTAATATTTATGTAACTATCTTTAACCAAAATTAAATGAAACACTTTTTTCTTTGCATTCACCTTATGTTGGGTTGGGTAAAAATTAAAATGATATTGGCAAAATGATCTAAAAAAATTAATATATCAGACAGGGAAAGTTGTTGGGGATAATAAAACTATTTTGCTTCAGTTGTTAAAATGATGGAACCACTGGTCCATAAAATATGTGTTGGCAAAGAATAGAATACAGGTCGACAGATCATGGTTATGATCACAGTTGACAGGAAGGTAAAATGGCATTAAATTTACAATTTGCATTTAAGTTAATATTTTGTGTGGTATTGATTTTTTTTTTTTTTAAATGGGGGTTCATTTTTAGTAGAGAACATTTAATTCTACATTCTGTTTCAATTTTCTTTTCAACTATGAAAAAGCTCTATAAAAGAATAGGAAAGAGAAAGAATCTGAAAACTTATTTAAAGTGCTAGAGAGAACCTTTGCTATAAACAAATTTGAAAAAGAATTTTATGGATTCAAATTTAAAAAAAAAAAAAAAAATTCAGACCAAATTATTACAAAGATATTAATATAAAATTTTTACAGAACAAGTTATTTTTTTTAATATTCTCTCGAAATACTGAGTACTGCAGATATACCTCCCACATAAGACATTAGCTAAATGAAGACAATGTCTTACCATTATGTGGGAGGTATTTTTGCCACACCATGTACATGGAACGCTCAAAGGCGTCAAAACTATTACGATTTGAACCATCTTTAAAGTATAGGAAAAAAAACGTAAAATTATTAAGTCATACTTTAGTCAGTCATAATCTTACATTGTCAAAGAAATGAAGACTTACCAAAAAGTGAAGAATAGCAAGTGTTAAGTTGATTGAATTTTTTAAGTGAAGTTTTGACATAAATTTCTGACAAGTTTATTTTTCATTTTTATTACAATGCTGAGATTGACCTGAATGTAGTGGAGAGGTAGAGCAGCAAATTAGGATTAAAATGATTAGTCAAAAATTAATACTAATAAACAGTGATTTTTACTTAAACACAAATTAGATTTTGTTCTTTAAATGCAAGCAACAAGATATTTCTCACTAAATATTTAGCTAAAAACTTAAAGTTAAAAAAAGTTGCTGACAGGAATTCATTAAAAAACGTTTATTGCAAATTTAGTAAGCATTTGATTTTTATATTTAATCTTTCCAAGACCAATTTGTGAAGAAACTACAAGCTATATCACTGGCATTTTAATATTAACTTACAATTGTTGTTACAGTAATCTACTGGTCATTACTTGCATATACTAAACACCTTTACAAGTTGAATTTTAATGGAATATTTTAGAAAAAAAATCAGTTGGTTTGAGCTAAGTTTGAAAAATGGAGGTTTTGATTTAGTTGTATTAAAAAAAAAAAAAAAAAAAAAAAATTAAAATAATCAAATGGCTTAACTATGTTTACAGCAAAACTTTAGTTAATTTACATTTTGTTAAGTAGGGAGGTTTGTTGCTTTACTGCATTAATGAGAGAGAAAAAAAAAAAGAGAAAACAGGAAAATGACAGATGATCAAAGAAAATTTAAAAATAAAAACAATAAGTTTAAGAAAAATAAAAAACCAAAAAGAAGGAAAAACAAAAGTGAAAAATTTTCAAAAAGATTAAATTAAAAACCTAAATCTTATTGATTTTTATAATTTTATTCAAATTAATTTTTCTCAGCTGAGGTCAGCACAGTTAAGAACAAATGAATTCAGAAACAAAACGGTCAAATATCCGAGACATGCAAACACTCAAATCTCAACCGCACAGTTATAAGCTAGCACATTTCTTTTCATATTGGAAGGATTTTTTTTTTATTTGGGGAAGTGGGAGTCAAGGGAGGAGATTTTATTATTTTTATTTTTTTTAATTATTTCAGAAAAAACTGAAATGTTTATGTAAGTAAAGAAGAAACCAAGGTCAATTGAGTTGAACTTAATTTGCAGACATTAACAAAAACACATTCAAATTATGTTTATAAAACTTAATTTACAATTATGCTGAAAGTGTGGATTTACAATAGAAGTAGGTCAATGAGAACACTCACCTAAAAATCTTGGACCATTTATGATATTTTAAAAAACTATAAAACTAAATATTAACTAAAAACACTAAGCATAAAAATACTAGGTTTAAAAAAAAAAAAAAAAAAAAAGAAAAAAAAGAGCTTTATTTTTATTTTAAGACCAAGTCTTTTTTTTGTTTGTTAAGTGCAGCAGTTAAAAAAAAAAAAAACTATAAAGAAATAGTGAGGACTGCCAAAACCTAGCAGAGTTTTATTCAAGAACATAAAATTAAAACTTCTAGCTTCAAACTTTGATTCACAAGGCAGATTAGCATTTTTTGCTTAGACATCTCAATATTGTTGAAAATCAAGATGATATAAAGGATAAAACAATACCTACTGAAATATTAACATTTAGATATTAGTCACAAGTAAATAAAAGATAGAATGCCTAAACTGTAGTAGAAAAGACAAAATCAGAAATGGTTCTAATTAGGAAAGAGAAATTTCTAAAAAAATGTTTCATGTGAATTTAATAAGTAAATGAATGTACAAAAATAGGAAATGATTTAAGGACGCAACCTTGCCAATAATTTGAATTTCTAGTATTTCTTAAATGGTTACAACCTGAACGGTCTGTCTTAATTGCGGAAAGTCAGGAGAATTATTTTATAAGTACATATGAAAAAAATTTCTGAGTGTGTGAATCTATGTCACAACCCAAAAAGCTTCTATGTACTAAGAATTTGGAAAAAAAAAAAATTATCAAGAAATGAGTGAATTTTTATGTGGATACAGAAATACACATTAATGTAAGCATGCAAATATGTTTTTATTCCATTTGGGAGTATGCATCCATAGACAGTCATTTATGACTGTATAGAAAAAAAAAAGGTGCATTTAGTTAAGTATTTAGCAGAAGTGGAAAATACAAGTAGCTATAAGAGATAAGAAGAAATGCATGATTGTCAGGAGGAATGTGTTTAAGTATAAGAGAAAGATAGTACGTGGAAATATGAGAAAGGAACAGGAAGACACAGTCATTACAAAATTTTACCAACCATCTGCTTGTAGGTGATTACTTCTTTTGTATTGGTACAGACAAAAAGTCAGGTATAATTTGGCAAACACCCGGCTAGAAACAGTACCAACGTTTCAAAAATAGACTGAAGAGTTGTGTCCCTTTTAATTTATTTTGCTTTCATCCAGGGTTGCACATAGTGTATGTAAATGTATATAACACTATGGAATGTGTTAGTAGATACTAATTGGTAGACAGGAAAATAGGTAACATGAACTGAAGAGACTATATGCATGTAGTTGTAAAAGGGTTGTATGCATATATTCATCTGATTGGATAAATGCATGGAAAACCCGGGTCTTGCAGTGTGAGGTATGAAGTATGTAGGGGATTATGAGAGAAAAGTATGGTGGATAGAAGAGAAAGATCAGGTTCACGTTTAAAGAGAAAAATATTGTAGAAATATATCTAATAATGATAGATTGTTGTTAAATTTAAATTTCCAACAGTGTACTCACAGAGATTGCAACCATTTGTAAGAAAGAAGAAAAATCAAGTAGTGGAATTTGAATGTAAAGTAAAGTTTATAAACAAAAACAGTCTTGTTATTTTCAACCTCACTACTAATTCTTTGCCTGTTTTTATACTTTATGCACGAAAAGCACATTGTGAAAATGTAAAAGATTTTGACCAAAAATAATTCTTCAAAATTAAAAGTATTATGAGACACACATTAAAACAGACAAGGAGGCATGTGTGTGTGTAAAAAGAAACTTATCTGGATGAAAATATAATTTGAAATCGCAGGTAGATATACTAATGTGTATTTCTCTAAATGTGAATACCATTATTTGCAGGCATCAAAATGTGCTAGTCAAAAACAAATCTCTCATGCAGATATGCGAGGATATATGTATTTCTATAGATTCAAAGAGATTATATATGTCAGAAGAGATTTAACAGAATATCAAACATACCATCAAGAGTGTGCATGTGTGTGTGTGTGGAACAGTTTGGAATGTGTTAGTAGAACAGAGGGAAAATGTGTAAGAGAAACTACACAGCTATGAGTGCGTGCGTGTGTGTGTGTGCATGAGAATGTTTTATTTTTGTGTTTGACATGCTTGCTCTGTACAGAAAAGAGGAGAATAAAAAAAATGTGGGTTTGTTGAGGAGAGTGCAAGTTGTAAGGAGCACCAATCAGCAAGTGTTCTCCAGTAGAAGAGCACCCCGTGCCAGACGCCCCCCGGCTCCACCACCACTGCCCCTAGCACGGTAGCTACTGGCAGTACCAGAACAGTAGGGTGATGGTGGCGGTGTGACAAGTGTCTGTGAGACAACAGAGCTGTTGGGCTGGAAAGATGACCTCTAATGAGCCTGACGTGCCCGGCTGTTTCTATTCATACTCTCTTTATTGGCTTGAGGCTTTCTTGTGATTGTAAAAATATAGATATTTAAATGCCTGCTGATCTGGAGGCACACTTGTCGTGCAAAGTACAGCAAGTTGCAAGTGCAGTAAATCTGAAACAAACAAAAGAAAAGGTTGTTTTTAAATTGGTATTTTTGCTGAACACAACCTGCAAGTCCCAACACCAAATCTCTTCATTAATGCAAGACAATAATCAGAATGTCAAAAGTTAAAACAAATAATGTTTTCTCATGAATTATCAAGACTCTTCATTTTTTTCATAACTCTTTTTTTTTTTAGGTTGAGGTGTGGGGTATTTACTTTGTATGCTATGCATATCTGAACAAATAATAACAATGATTCATATTACATTTCCTCCAAAAGCCACAAATTCATTTTTCCTATTTTTGACAGGGACTAACTTAGAAGGGATTAACAGATAATCTGAGTCAGCATAATCCAAATACAATAAGATCAGCCTGTAAAGTAGAATATCTGTTACTATATTCAAGAGATCAAAGCAGAAAGACTGACCAATAAAGGATCAATAAAACGGATTAAAATCATAGTTATACCAGCAGGTCAAGCAGGATTATCTACTGCAATTATTACAGTTGATAAATTGTTTTTTAAAAATTCATTTTAAAATAAAGTGTTTTTATATAATAATAAAAAAAAAAAAAAAAAAAAAAAGAGAGAGAAAGAAAAAAGTGGACAACTGTTTAATACTTATACTTGAATACCCCACATAACAAAAAGATTTAAAAATAGATATTGGGAATAATTTCTTTTTGAACAGTAATGATAATTTTTTTTAGGCAATTTCCAATGAGACGTTTTAACACCAGTTGCTACAAAATCTAATTTTCTCACAATTTCCTTTTTTTTTTTTTTTTTTTTAGCTGACAACAGGTTAAGAAAATTTTTATTTAGCAAAATTCAAAAAAGATATTTAATAGAAAGAATTTACCAGAATGTGATTACAACTAAAAAACTGAGAAATATAACTAAAAATTAAAGAACTGTAAACAAAAAGATTTTAATAATTCATAATAAAATATTAATAAAATTCATGTTAATAAAATATATACTCACACAAAAGACCCAAAGTACAACAACTTCATTGATTTTGCAGTCAAAGTATTGATTGAGACACACCAATAATGGTCCAAGAAGTGTGTGATCAAGTAGATCCATTTCACTTTTTGTCATATGTGCTATCTGAAAAGATCAATAAAAATTTATACTATAGTGTGTGTCGTTAATGGCTAGCAAGCAAGATAATGTATTTGTAATAATGGCTAAGGTAAAGAATATTTTAAACAGGCACTTTCAAATAAAAATTTTATAGTCATAATGGGTTTATATGTATAATATTTATCACCAATTGCTAACCTCCAAAAGAGTAAGTGTCCAGGGTAAGATGATAAACTATATTCAACAGCGAGGCCTCTGATCAGGAGGCTTTGAGGAGCGTAGAACCTCCTCTTAATTGCTGGCGTTTCCAGGTCCACCCTGACTCAGGGTGGTAGCACCTGTTAGGGTCCCAGCTATGGACAAATAGTTAACCCAGAAACTGAGGTAAAAAGCATTATAAAAGTGTAAAAATAGGTTTTAATACCAGCTATACGTTTTTGAAAAAAAAAAAAAAAATAATATTACCAGCTATACGTTTTGGAAGAAAAAAAAATAATATTACCAGCTATACGTTTTGGAAGAAAAAAATAATATTACCAGCTATACGTTTTTGAAAAAATAATATTACCAGCTATACGTTTTTGAAGAAAAAAAAAAAATATTACCAGCTATACGTTTTGGAAAAAAAAAAAATATTACCAGCTATAAGTTTTGGAAGAAAAAAAAAAAAAAATATTACCAGCTATACGTTTTTGAAAAAATAATATTACCAGATATACGTTTTGGAAGAAAAAAAATAATATTACCAGCTATACGTTTTTGGAAAAATAATATTACCAGCTATACATTTTTGAGGAAAAATATATTAAGAAATAGATTTTTGACAAAACAAAAATATCACCAGAAAAAAAAAAAAAGGTTGTCGGCATTAAATGACCCATTGAAGTTGATATGCCATAAAAGAAAAAGCAAACCAGAAGAGTAACTCATTGTACCATCTCACATTTTCCAGACACAATGTCAAACGATTTTATTGAATCAATTGCTGGATCTGCAATTAGGAAAGCTGGTTCACAATGTCATGCGACACAATTTTTCCCTTCAGAATCTATCTTGCACAGTTATAAGTCTAGCATTCATCCGTTCATTGAATATTGCTGCCACATTTGTTTTTCTTGTTCTATTTTATACCTAGAAATCCTTGACAAAATCCAAATAAACTGTAAATGTTATCGGTCCTGATCTGGCATCAATTATTTTCCCACCAGCATAATGTAGCTTCCCTTTGCATCTTCTATAAATATTTTCACCATAATTGTTCTGATGAGCTTTCCTCTTGGGTACCTTGACTTCATAAATTTAATACTAGATTAGCAGCTTGGTCAAAATTTCACTGTTGAAATTTGCCTGATGCAATACATTCTCTTCTAATAGTTTCTTCCTTCATACTTCTTACCTGTGGAACTCTCTTCCAGGTTCTTGCTTTCCTGTCAACTATGCTCTTCAAAAGTTTCAGTTCAACATCAATCATTATCTTATGTCTCCTTGAATCCTGTTTATTATTGTCCACACTGTTTCTTTCTCTCAGTAATTCCTTGCGACTTAGTGGCTTTATGACCTTGCTTGGAACGAAATGATTAAAAAAGTTTATTCCCTATAGAGAAATTGAATCATTTATATCCAAAATGACCTAACTCTACATTAATGTAGAGTCGGATCTTTTGAAAACTCAGTAATTCAATTTTAATTTATCTAGACTGTGCAAAATTTATCTAGACTGTGATAAATCAACAAAAATATCAACAAGCAAAAGAAAATTAAGATGGTGGACAAATTTGAAATGTACAACATCATTTTGCTGCTTTTTTTTTTTTATGATGTTCACTCTGTACAAGGCCTAAGAGCCACTCGAGGTAGATGGTTACAGAGTAGGGGACATAGTTTATACGTATATTTGGGGAAGATAATGGTTAACCTTAGACTTGAACAATTCAAGATTGCAGTGATCGGGAAAGCATTGGTTTGTGGGAAAAAGCTGCTAGAGTGGAACTTACATCTCACCAAAACAAAGGAAATGAGGGTGGTTCGCTACAATGGGTGTCGCATGGCAGGGTCTTACAATCCCCATTATTTAACATTTTATTCTCTCCAGTATTTGAGGAGTTATTCTGAGCCAGTCTGTGCATATGTGAACCTCATAGAGCCCTCAACCAAACACCATCCTAATGTTCTCCCTCTGCATCGATTAGGAGACTTCCTGGGATAGTTTTTTTATATCACATATATTGCAAACTCTTTCGCACACCTGGAAACTGGATGCAGGTGTGGGGTCAATGTGCTTTCTCCAGTCACTGACTGGGACTGACCACCACAGTCAACTACCTGAGGTATCCAGCATCCTTGATACCTGGTGTGAATTGCATGCAATGTCTATTCCAGTATCATACAACATATACATTCATTTTCATGCAAAATAGCCTTTTTAGAAATCTATAACAAAGGTCATAATGTATTTTAATATCACTCTACAACACCTACCAGACAATTTGGGAGACGGGTATTGTCATTTACAAAATGTAATCCAGGCAACTTTTACATTTTATTTTTTTTTTGTAATCATGTAAAAACAAAAAAATAAATAAATATTTATAGAGTATATGCTTCCTGTTGGATTACAATCTAGCAACAGCTAATTTCTAACAAACATTGTATTCTTTGCTAATTGTTTAATGGCATATCAATTTCTTATGGATCATTTAATGCTAAAACTTAATTTTCTTGGCAGCTTTGAAGTAACAAAAAGGTGATGTCATTCTATTTTCACAATTGAATACATGGTAGATGATACTCAGCTTTCGTGTATATACATGCTTGTGTGACCATAATTGCTTGACGCAGTGGTATGTATGTTCTATGTTGTAGTTTTGTTGAAGTTACATTTTGGAATACAGTTTGATTTCTTTAAGAAATTGTAGGATAATTTATGGATTAATGTCAGGAAAGAGTTCTTTCATTTTGGTTGTTTGGTTGATTTTGTTTAGTGGCTCATCAACACTTCTATGAGTTATTTAATACTGAAAGCTAAATATTTTGAATGAAATTGCATGCCTTCAACTACAAATAAAATGTATTATTCGTCATTTTTTTTTTATATAAAAATGTATTTCTATACTTTCATAGTATTGTGTTTTGGGAACAGCAGCAGCAATTAAAATGTGGTTGCATGCTCCTCAAAACCTCCAGATCACAAGCCTTCTTGCCAGATGTAGTTTATCATCATACCCAGGACAAGTATTTTTTCTAAAACCACTGTAAACAAATAAGAAAAATTGGAGCAATTTCCCCACCTTAAAAATGCAACCAACACATAAAATTCTTTAATCTACTGCAAACTATTTTTACAAAGAGCATGAATGAAAAACAACATATTTTTAGTTCACTGTATTATGTCAGAAAATGTTTCTTGCCAGAATCCATCTTGCACATTTATAAATCTCTCATTCATTCGTGTACTGCTGTTCCTGCTGTATATCTCAAGATTCTTAACAAAAATTCAAAAAAGGGAAAAAGGGTCCATAATGTAATCATTCCTAACCAGACATCTTGATTTCAGTCATTTTCTCACCAACATGACATGGCTTCTGTCTTTCCTACAAATATTTTCAAGACAACTGTTCTGAGGAGCTTTTTTCCTTAGTCCCTTGACGGCATCAATTTAAGCATGCTACTAGATTGGCAACTAGGTCTGACCATTTTACTGCTGAACTATCTAGATGCAACTGTCTTTTCTAAGAATCTTTTCTCACCTGTGGAAATCCCTTCCGATCTCTTGCTTCCTTGCCATCTATAATTTTTGACAATTTAAATGCAATGTCAATCACTATCTTCTGTCTCACTGAACCCTATTCCTTTATTGTCCATTCTCCACTTCTATTCACTAAATTCTTCTCATTCTCTTTCATTCCCTTTAACACTTTTGAGTCTTACTGACATTATCACCTTGCTTGGGGGTGAAATGATAGAAAATCAAAAATACAGAAATTATTACTGCTTTATCTTTGTAGTATTCTTTATCTAACATGACACCTGTAATGGTTTTTTTTACAAAACATTGACATTTTTAAAATGAGTATATGGTGACAAGATAATGCTAGACTAACTTTGAAGACTAGTTTTAGTTTCTGTAGAAGTTCAAGAACCACCAAAGGTATTAAATCTGTTTGGTTCAGAGAGGTGTAGTGTATTGGTAAATAGGATTGTACCTATTAGTATATTGTTAATAGAAGAGATATAAGGTGTATAGTAAACTAAGAGACAAGCAGAAATTCATGACTGATCACATATCGTAGAACAACACAATACAACAGTTTCTTTGAAGATTTTTTTTTCATTAATACTTCTATATTTAATTAATCTTATTTATAGCAGTTTGAATAAGACAATTATAAGCGGCATTAATTGAATGACAACTCGTTACCCAATTCCAAATCTTACCCAGCATGAAATACAAACACTTTTGAGTCTGCAGAGTAACAAGAGTAAATATGACCTGAGTCAAAAACATGATCACAACTACAAAGTCTCCAATATTTTCTTCTGTATCACATTTTTTCTCTCTAGTTATTTCAACTAAATCAAGCTAGCCACAAGGCCAAGTTTATGGAGCAGTTTCATTTTGATGGCAGTGGAGGGATATTCTCAGGCAACTTACCACTAGTTTGTTTGTAATTTTTGCAGAAGCCATCCCAAAGCTGATCACATATAAACATGGATGCTTCATGTAAACATGTGTTGGGGATTTCTGGTAGATTACCGCTGCCAGGCACAGAACTATAGAAATTGGCAATACAGGAAATATCGTACTGGTCCCCTGAAAAATACAGGAAATTTAAAATTCGACTTTCATGATTATGATCAATAGAGAAAAATAAACTATTACTATCTAAAACTAGAAAAATGTTCAGCTTCGAAACGATGAGTTAGAATTGAAAGTAAAGGGAAAATGAAATAGTTTCAATTGTAAAGTTTCTGTCATCCATTAATTCTTAGAAAAGATCGAAATAATGTCTATAACATTTCTAATAGATTTAAAAATAAGTTTAATTATAGTAATACAAAATTATATACATACACACACTTGGTAGCAATCCTTCTTTTATCTACATTTCATTGAAATGTCAGAGAAGGAAAATTTTGTCATCGTTTTTTTATTAACTTTTTTTTTAGGCACCTTACAGTTTTTTTTGTTTTTTTTTACAAGGATGAGTGGGTAGAAACTGTCTGTAGTGACTACTATGCCAAGTACTTTTAGCGAAGTCTTTATCCATTTTCAAGAGGATTAGTGTTGGAATACAAACATAAAAATGTACAAAGCTGTGTTATATAGAAGTAGCAGTAATTCCATGTTGGAATACCTACAAAAGATATCCAATATGTTTTTGCTGGTTTCAAAGCAATTGATGTTAAGTATAGGTCTGCAGGGTTTCATAAAAAGTGCTTCCATTAACTTTAAAATGGACCCCTTGAAAATGGCTAAAAATTTAATCAAAAGCAGTTAGGTCAACAATCACTGGATAGTTTCTGCACACTTAGGAGGAAAACCTGAATAAAAAAAATTTACAAATGAAAACTTTCAATAAAACACACTCACAACAGTATAACACAGTGTTTTTCAACCAGGGTATCACAAATTGCCATGTAGCAGAAAGTAGTTAAAGTATTTTGAATATTTAATTAAATTAAAAACTGACAAAGGCAAATCATATATGTGTGTGTGTGTGTGTGTGTGTGTGTGTGTGAAAGAGTGAACATTGAGGTCAACACTTAGAGGCGACAGGCTGTTTCATGCTAGACACAATTGTCAGGACTCGTGCCTGTCACCTTTAAGTGTTGACTTCAATGTTCACTTATATTTACACATGCCCTCTCTCCGATATTGAGCACTTTATCCCATAAATATAGCACACCTTAAGAGTGTGTGTGTGTATATATATATATATAAAGAAAATGTTCCCTGAGTAAGAAAACACAGTATAGCTTCTTTTTTTTTTTTTTTTTTGTGAGGTTTTAATTGGGGTTGCGGAAGACTGTCAGTATTATTTGTGGCTCCCAAAAATAAAAAGTTGGAAAAGAAAAAGTTAGAAGTGGGTGGAGGAAAGCATTCTTTTTCTATTTAAAGAACATACACAAACAAAAATATTATTGTATTTTTTTTTGCACAAAATTTTTCATCCTATTCACCACATTTTGTTTAAGATCAAATTGTAGTACTATTCCTTATGTCAACAAAACATATCATTAAGTTTAAACACAGATATTGCATACCTTCAGCATAGGTTGAAAACCACTGGTATAATGATCATCGAAATCTTTTAAATCAATTGTGTGTGTGTGTGTGTGTGTATATATATATATATATATATATATATATATAAATAAACATAGAGAGAACATTTGTTCTAACATTACTTACTGCCACTGTTGAATGATTTTTTCCAATTCCTCCTTTGATTATTATCACAGAAAAATGCTGAATGCATTGTAAGATGGCTGCAAAGATTCCAAAGTAGACAGGAAGGAGGCGGAGGGGTGTTCTAAGGCCAGGCACCTAAATAAAATTAAAATGAAGAGCAAAATATCTCATTAAAAATGTTGGTTATATCAGATTTTATCCTAAGCAAAAAAAAGCTATTGCTATCAAGACTTAATCATAAATTATAACCAAAAGGATGCCCTGAGATATAACTATCAAGTGTTTATTTCTTTGTTTATCGGCATATCAACTCCTTATGGGTCATTTAATGCCAAAATTTAATTTTCTTGGAGGCATTAGTAATTTCTTTTACAAAAAAAAAAATGTATTGTTGGTATTTTTACTATAAAAATGTATTTTATACTTTCATAGTGTTTTGATTCCAGTTTGGTGGTTAACTATTTTGCCATATTTTGGACCCTAACAGATGCTACCACCTTGGATCAAGGTGGACCTGGGAACAACAGCAATTAAGAGGTGGTTCTACACTCTTCAAAACCTCCTGATCCAAGGCCTTGCTGCCAGATACAGTTTATCGCCTTACCCAGGATGAACTATCAAGTATGAAATTAAAAAAATAAATAAAAAATTTTTTTGCAGTTTTCACAATTCTTGTGAAATGCACTGCATTTCACAAGAATTGTGAAAACTGCAAAAAAATTTTTTTTATCTAAAACAGAAGATTGACTGTTTTTTTATGGCTTATCAACCAATTTTTTTTTTTTTTTAGAGATAATAATGGTTTAATGATACAAGTGTAATTAATCCATAGCTGGTGGGAGAAGAGGATTTCATAACTTTTCTAAAAGTATTAGCATGTAAGTGAATATAATGAACCCAACATTGGCTCTCCAATTAACAATTCAGAGCCATTATCCCTTACACCACACCTGCACATCCACGCTTAAAGCACCTCGTATTCCCAAAAGGTTACCCATCTATGTACTGACCAGTTTCACCTTTGCTTAACTTCATTGATTGTACAGGAATCGGTTTTTTGTTTGAACATGATGTGGCTACAAACCTTAAAACAAAAGAGGTTCTTTAAAAAAAAAAAAAAAAAGAAAAAAGGAGCAAAATAGGGTATTTATCTTACTAACCTGAATATTCCAAAATCCAGTACCCATGAAAGCATTGAAGATATAGATGCCTATCACAATCAACTGACCTTCTGTGACATCAATTCTATAAGGAAACAATCAGAAATGTGTGTAGATATAAAACAGGAGATGAGGATTATTATTCTAATTATGAAGTTAATATTTACAATCTTAAACCAGAAAATACCAATTTAATATTGTTATATACCGTACCTATGAACACTATGGGTATGTCCCTATCCTCATAAATATGTTGGACACTATTGTAAGTGGGGGGGGGGGTAATATGCTGTCTAAGTAGTCAACCACTGACAGTGGTTTACCTACTTCATGCTGCTGGCGAGTATTGTATTTTGTTGATGTTATAAAGATTACAATTTCATTTCCAACCTTCATTTTGGTTATTCCTCATTCAGTAACCTTTTCTAGGTTACAACAGATATCAATATAGAAATCTAATTAGATACAGATTATTGTCTTCATCTTTTTTGTTATCACAATGATCTAGTCACTGCATCCTCTGGCCTTCATCAGAGTGTGTCAATCTGGGAATTCTGAACCAAACCCTTTATTCAATTTATGGGTGAGACTGTCCTTATTCCACTACCCATGTCTAGAAAAAATATCTTGTCTAATTCTTATTTTTAGTACTGCTTAGTTATTGCTCACCACATTTCCACTGACCCAGGGATTGAACTCACAATTACTATGTCACCAAATTCACTAACCAATACTAAGCTATTGTCCTGTAGGACAATTCTTTACGGAGAACTTGGTGTTTGTGAGCCTAACCTGCCTGCTGATGGGTGCTGCTGCTGCTTGCCATACTTGACTGCACACACTGGAGCTTTTTTCTTTTGTTACAGCTGCTGTTGAAAACAGCAACTCCCATATATTTATTTCTATTTTCATTCTAATTTTTACTAAGGAGGTCCTCATAGTAATTCTTGCTTGTCCAGTATTTCCATAGGGGCTAATGACTACTCTTTTCACACCATACATGATCAGCCATGCCAGATTTCATTGCCTCACTCCTGACTACAGCCTTACTTTTAATAGTCTGCATGTAAATAATGATAACTCCTCATCCCAGAAATTCTGACATAAATGTAAGCTGGTCAATTTACTTAATTCTGTGAAAAAAAAAAATTTTTTTATTTAAATTTTAATGATAAGTTGTTTCTAAAATAAAGACATGCATGCAATGTTGTCATCATTCCAACCCTTGCATACCACATAACATAAAATTTGAAATCAATGCAAAAATATTCACATTAAAGTAAACCTTTAATGTGAATATTTTTCAGCAATAAGTTTACAAATACCAGAATGATTCATGACAAAGTTATTTTGAATATCTAAATATTAGGAATTACATTAGAAATATTCTGGGAATATATATCTTGTAGGTTGAGCACTTTGGAAGAAAAGGAATTTGATGGCTGCTGCTATTAAAAGCTCTTCGCTAAGAATTGAGCATTCTGGTAGCCAGTAATACTTATATCTTGTATATAAGATGTTAAAAATTCCCTTTCTCTGCTGTGTGAGCTGATCGCCAAAGGGTGAGAGTTTGGCTTGAAGCAATCGCATGTCTAGCCACACTGATGAGCTGTGTGTGTGTGTGTATATATATATATATATATATATATATATATATATAGTAGTAATGGCTGACTGTTCATATGCCTGTCTGCTAAGGTGGCTAAGCAATCCCTATTGCAGACGCCAGCTCAGGCACAAAGCCCACCTGTGGTTTATACTGTGGATGCTGAGAAGACCTTAATCACAGTTTCTGGGAGAGAGTGCAACATCTGGCATGGTCAACAGTTTGAACAAGGCCATTACACTCAAAACCCTTGGTTCTGATGACTTTCTACTTCATGCTAACTCAACCATCGATGGCTCCCAAATATTTCCATCTTTCACTAACATGGATTGGATCAACTCATGGTATAGTTTTTATACATTTAATAGAAAGAAGATTCTACTATAGATCTGGATATGTAAATATATAAAACAAATTGGAAAACTTATTTTGACATGTTTCACCATCAGCATCTTTTACAAATTTGGATAAGGCAAAATTTTGTCTGTGTCTCTCCACCTTACATCAGTGGAAGAAAACAGTCTAACCCATCAACCCATATCAACTGTGTTGGTGTGACCAACAGACAACTTGCCAAAAGACCTAACACCTTAGACCAGAAAAAATCCCAAACAAGGAAAAAAAGAATGAAAGACCAAAAGGCAAACCTATTCAAAGTGCTCAACACCCAGATTACCTAGACAAAGCAAAAAACAAAATTTTTTTTAAATATCTGATGATACATTACTCTTAGTAGGATGAACAATAAGCAGACTCTGAAATTACAGATTGAATCTAAGGATTGTTAAGGATTACTCAAACCTTCCAAAGTTTATACAAAAAAATATTGTGCTTTGGGAATTTTTGCAATAAACAATTTTGGTTGTAAATATGTAATATTTATGAGGATAATATACGGATATCTTTCCTTAGGTGTTTATAAATTGTATACTGTTTTATTATTAACGTTAACAACGAAGTATTTTAAATTACAAAATCATACTAGGATTAAATGAAAATTACTTACAATATAATACATATGACTTATAATATATTCCTTCTTGCCGTCAATTTTGACGGTACAGGTACACTAGTTATTAATAAAAACAGAAAATTATTCAAATGCTTCTGTCATGGTCAACTCGGTGTGGTTATGTCTAGAATAAGAAATTCAAGTGGAAATCAATGTAAAAAAAAAAAAAAATGACCAAAAGATCTCTTCTAAAAATGTTTTTACAGAAATTTTATGGAGATTAGAGAATTTCTATGACATTACTTTTCTGTTTGTAGAATATGTATTCAGCTAGTTGGAAAAATGAATTCAAGAAAATGTAAATTAGCAAGACAATACGTAATTTATGGTAATCACATGAACACTTGATTCTATCTAGATATCAGACATTTCTTCAAGTAGAATTTTTTTTTCATTGTAACTTTAGACAATTTTACCACTTGTACAAATCTAAGGCTTAAAGCTACAAGCTTGTGCATAAATTGTGATGCAGAAGACCAAACGCATTGACTAAAAAAAACAAGAATAACAATACTCAAAGTGTCATGAAAAGCAATGTAAATTTCCTTTATGTACAACAAGAATTTATTTACACTATTTACCTTATTTGGACTGTTGTCTTCATTTTTATTGTCATGTTCACAACGTTTCGGCAATTATACGTTCTGGCCTTCTTCAATTAAATATTTTATTTATAAAAGAAATTTATAACCTAATATTTTGGATATTTTTAGTTTTTTTTTGTTTTTTTTTTTATTATGATGTTTTCTTGATCAATCAGGTTAACTTATACTCAACAGTTTGAAAAATGGATCCCAACAATCTGAAACAAACTTTTCTAAGCTACCAAGAATGCAAATTGTTAACTCATTAAACAAAGGTATATGGAACTTGTCTACTCTCAGAGAATGTGGAAATTAAAGTTTATTTCTTGTTAAGTCTGGTTATTTAAGCATTAAATGCAAAAGTAACCTGCAATATGAAACTAGTAAAAATATCCAGAGTCATGCGTGTCAAAAATAAATTTTGAAAGTGCTTAAAGAGGAAGTGAAGAAAGGATTCAAGAGAAACTGGAATATAATTCTCATAAAGAAACAAAATACTTACAGACCAAACCTGAGTGTTCCAGAAACATAAGATTGCCAATGTGCCGAGTAGAAGAGGAACATAATAGCAAAGCAGTTGAAAAAGAACCATTCCAAATGGTTACCTAACTCCAAGGCAATGCATATACCCAGCGTCACAAACACTGCAAAGAGTATATAAAAGTTACAAGTCTTTGGTAATGATAAAATGGTAAAATTGGAAGTTTCCATACATTTCAATGACCAAGCAGTGAGTTTTAGCATCAGTTAAGATTTATATAATCTTTGGTAATTTTTTTTTTTAAAAGGAAATTATACTTCTCAAATCTACAGTTAATGCTCTTTTATGAGAATTTCTTTTCAAATTTTTTCAAAAAGCGTGGAAAGTTAACAGCTTGATTACATCATTATTTTCTCTAGCACATGAACAACAAAAAGTTCTCCGCCACACAAAGATGGTGAGCATAGAAACCATCATGATTTGCCATCGACTTTGATGGGCTTCACACCTTGCCCAAATGCCAGATATCCGTCTACTGAATTAAATTCTCTTCTTGGAGCTCACATCTGGGAAGACATCATGTAGAGCCCCAGATTCAAAGACACCTTGTCAAGGACAGAAATCGATCCAGTCAAATGGAAGGCAGAAGCTGCAAAAAGAACCAGTTGGAAAAGAGCAGTTCACAAAGAAACTACATCCTTTGAAAACACCAGAAGACAAATGGAAGTGATGAAGATAGCCCAAATAATAGCCAGAGCTCTCCATCCCCTGAACCTTCCTACCCTAACATGGGATGTCTCTTCAGATCCAACATAGGATTCATTTCAAACAGAAGCAAATGTCTATGAGCAACCCAATATCCTGCAACAAGTTCTGCCAATGACAAAATTTGCAAACCATTTTTGTTGTTGCTATTAAAAGTGTTCAAATGATAAGGTTTTTGTTATTTGATAAAAAGCTCTTTCTTTGTGAGCATGTAGCATCAGTCAATAGTGTCTGATGAAGGATTCTTTAAATTTTATGGTGTTTGTGTGTGTATGTCCATATATATATATATATATATATATATATATATATATATATATATATATATATATATATATATGTGTGTACACACCTGTATGCATGTATGTATGTATGCGTAAATATAAATATGTTGTTGTGTATGTGTGTATACGCACGTCTTTTTGAACATAGAAATATAGGTCCTTGTTAGATTAGATAATCGTTATATTTGTTTTTTATATGTTTATATCTGATTTGAAACCTGTAGTCGATATTAATTTTGTCAAATTTTCTTGATTACACGGCAGCCCTTTTATAAATGCCTTTCGGTTTTAGATAAAACCCAGCCCGCCAACCCCATCTCTCTTCCCCCACCCCTTTTTCTTTCCTTTTCCTCTCCCATCATCTGATCTTTAAGTTTAAATCGTCTATTGTGTGTGTATGTCGCCACAAAATGTATCTTTTCCAGTATATCTTTAATGTATTAGACATCCGAGAATATTCATATTTCTCTCACTTAAACCGTCTTTGACTGCCCTCTTTTAAACTTCTCTCTGTTAAATTTTAATCCCCCCCCTTCGTCTTTAGACCTTCCTGTTCTTCTCTCGTCTGTTACCCCTTCCTATAGCTTTCATTTACTCTAACATTTGTCCCACACTCTCATACATACACTCTCACTAAATTTTTTTTTTTATTCCCGGAGTTGTTTTTTCTGTTTTTTTTTTGAATTTGTAGGTCTGATGAATTGGATCGTATTTATGATTCCAATGGAATAAATTATGACCATGGAATATTAGTGTTTAAGCCTTTTTATTATATCCTTACTCTGTCCCGGACATTGAGTTCTACCTGGATTCTATCCTCTTGGATTTATTTTTTATACAAATATATATGTATGTATGTATGTATGTATATATATATATATATTTTAGATATATGATTGCATATGTATGTGTATATTTATATATTATCTAATTATATATATATTTTAGATATATGATTGCATATGTATGTGTATATTTACCACTAATATTATCTAATTATATATATATATATATATATATATATATATATATATATATATATATATATATATATATTTGAACCATAATTATTTCATAACTATTCATAAAAATAATTCCAAATTTGACATAAGGCTTCCTAACATTGTTTTTTGTTTTGTTTTTGTTGCTTACAGTTTAATTAAATATGGTGATTCAAACAAAATGTTATCAATTTGTTGCACTGAAAATGGCTGCTATGAAGAATAGTGAGGTGATAAAACAGTTTAATGCTTGCAGAATTTTTTCAATGTATGAAAAAAGTTTCAAGATCACCAAATTCAATTCAAGGAAGAAACTGTTCAGTTCATACGAGGAGGAGGCATTGAAGGCGTCAAGAAGAAGATGAAGAGAAATCCATAAAGATGCACAAAGAAGATGGCAAAAGAGCTGGATATGTTGGACAGGTTGTTAAGAGGGGGGGGGACTGTGAAAGAGAATTTAAGGCTAAAATGATACAAGATTCAAAGATGCCAGCTACTCTCAAGTGTCTCCCCCCCCCAAAAAAAAAAAAAAAAAAAGGTTTGGCAGAGAAAAGAAAATGTTGCAGTGAGTTGCAGACAGTCTTCATTTTGTTAGACAAGAAGTTTTTTTTTTTTACTATGAAGTCTGATCAACTACCAAAACGAGAGGGTTTATGCCACTTCACCAAGAAATATTCTCAAAGGTGTCAGAACACATTTCAAGCGACAGACACCAATTGATGGTTTAAGTTGCTGTTGCTTATAATAGTTTGAAATAACTCTTGGCAATCATTGAAGAAAGCGTGGAAGTGAATAATGGAGTTTACCAGCAAATATTGGAGATATATGTTGCCCTTGTTGCCAGTTACATTTGGAAGTTGCTATATTGTCACTAAGATGGAGCTTCTGCACACACTGGTATAAGAGACATTTTCATATATATATTTTGACAATTAGTCCTCCCATCAAGCCCTGATATTAATATTAAACTTTGTGATATGGTCACTTTTGATAAATGCCATAAACAATAAGATTTTGAAGAAAACAGAAACAAAAAGGAAACTTATACTTAACATCAGGAAGAGGCAGTTGAAATTTCTGGGACACATAATGAGGAAGGAGAATACTCACCGGACAGATTGAGGGAAAGAGAGACCGAGGAAAGCAGTGTGTAACATATTTGATGAGCAAATGGATGGTAGGGTTTGGGAGAAATAACAAAAGGACAAAATTTATTAAGAGCTACAAGGGACAGGAAGATGTGGAGAACCATGATCGCCTATGTCCAGAAGAATGTATCTAATACTCAAATGTGTCAAACTTGAAAGACGCTCTTATGATATGGTACAATTTGAGCAAAGAAGTGGTCAAGTCATCATGCACTTCACTTGGCTATGGTGAAAGTAAAAGGTGGTTTGGTTTGTTGTGTTTTATGGCAGATCAACACATCAATGGGTTATTTAATGCCAACAAGATTTTTATTGCTGGTAATAATTTTGCCTCAAAACATTTATTGCTGGTATTAAAACCTATTTTTATACTGTCATAGTGTTTTGACCTCAGTTTGGGGGTTAACTATTTGCCCATAGTTGGAACCCTAACAGGTGCTACCACCTGGCTCAGGTGGACCTGGGAACATCAGCAATTAAGAGGTGGTTCCACGCTTCTCTAAGCCTTCTGATCAGAGGCCTTGTTGTCGAATGTAGTTTATCATCTTACCCAGGACAAGGATGTAGTTTATCGTCATACCCTGGACAGAGTAAAAGGTGGTCATTTTGAATTGTAAATATATACCATATATACTCATGTAACATGCAATGTTTATTTTAAATACAGCTGTAATTTTTTACTACAGTAAATGAATATATCATTTGGTCAATAGTATAGCTAGAGGCAGCAGTACATATTGCTAATCTTATATCTCATGAATGTTATGATCACTTCAAAATTAGGTTTCCAAAGTCGCATAGTACGCGAATATATATGGTATATATAAAATGTTGTCAATAAATATAAAAATCAACCTGTAAACTATCATTAACCAAAACTTAAATTTTTTATTTTACAATAAAAGTAAATATATATGCTGCACCTGGTAGACCAAAAGCACACAAGAACCGCATCATATTTTACATATTTTTTTTTAAATTAAAAAGATAAATGTCAGTTTTATAATTAAATGAGTAAGAATGAATGAATAAGTTTTAATTGGATCTCTCACTTTTTTATAGTCAGCATGTCGTGATACTGAAAAGTGACAAATGCAAAGAACAAATCTCTTAACACTTCCCAGAAGCCATAGTTTAGATACTAGGCAATTCTTTATGCAATTTCAGATATGTCAACATACTCTAAGTAAATGTTAATTAAGAATCTAATATATACATTAAAAGGCAGCTCTCAATTAGCTAAGAAAAAGAGATTTTGAAACAAAGTGAGGATAGAGTATCTTATAAACTTAAAAACATTACATTTTCTGTTTATTAAAGTACTCTATAGGTGAGTTCAATCTCCAAGCAATAGTATTTTTTTTGTTGTGTTATCATATCCCACTATGACAACTGTTAAAAATTGCCTAGAAATAGAGAACAAGGTTACTGCAGTTGTATGGCTACTATATACAGTGAATGGAGAAATAAGATCAATAATGGAAAATGTTAAAAGAAGAATCTGGTTAAATTAAAATTAAAAACAGGAAGGATTTTCAGATTAGCATAGCTAATAGATGACAACAAAGGCTATAATCAAATTCAATTTGTTCTTACCATTATAAATTATTTTAGAATCCGTAGCAGAGATTAATTTATATTAACCCATTAATGCCAACCATCAATTATAGGTTTCTAAAAAAATTCTGATACTAGTAAGGTTTTCTACCAAATTAATAACCACCGATGTGTTTTTTTTTTTTTTTTTTAGACAGCATGCATTAATAGGCTAAGTACCACTTTCTTTAACACAGAAATATCAGCGGCAATTTTATCTTTTACAAATAAAATCCATGATCACATTTATAAATTTGATACCTTCATACCACAATTATCATACAAAACGGAAATACAATTTCACTCATTTCCGAGATTCCATTTCAGTTAAGCAAAATCAATTTTTAAAACTGTTCAGTCTCCAAATTTACAAAATTATTTCAGTAAGAGTATTGCGATTAAACAATAAGAACTGACCATTTTTTCCCCTGGAGATAAATTCATATACTTTTGGAGTCTTACAAGTAATATATTAATACTCACCAGTGGATAGAGAGTCACAACCATGGTCTAGGAGTTCTCCTAAAGGAGTATTTGTTGAAGTTCTTCGAGCTTGTTTGCCATCAATGGCATCCAAAGATTGGTAAATGAACAGTCCCAAAGCATTGATGAAGTAAACCCAAGAAGGCACCTGCAATAAAAAGCATCTAAACTTAAATCCAATTCGTTCTAGTCTGGCACATTTGAGCCATTGGGTTCACTATAGACAATATTTTTAACATGAAAAATTAAATGGTATGAAAAAAAAAAAACATTTACTAAGTGAATACCTCTAAGAGATTGTGAGAATTAATCAATAGCATTTACAGTAACAAAGAGATCTTTCAAAGTAAGATATACAGTACATTGTTGGAAATGACAGAAAACAAACTCTTCTTCCATGGTATGGCATCACACATGTAATAAATCTTTTTTGGTATTAAGTTCAGACAAATTTGTTCAACTTTTACCTACTCAGTCACAAATACTATAATGCCATATCTACATTAGTGTAACAATTTTCCTACCACCATTTCCTCTCACTTAACATTATGTTACATAAAATTTGCAAATGTGAAACAAATTACATCTAAATTTCTAAGATGAGGAGTTATTATTCAATATATTTTATATTCAGACTATTCTCCTGATCTTTGTTGTTATCATAATGTTTTGGCTGTTGTGCCCTCTGACCTGCCTTAGGTGTCTATCTGTTATGTAGGAATAAAGTGTTGTTGCCGACACTTGAGCTTGAACATAGATCGCCAGTGATCAAACAAGGCAATCCCATTATTGAATTATTTAGACCATCTGACCATAGAAGAAACGCATATATAGAAAGTCTGATTGATTGCATTTCTTTTCTATCTTCTATTGCTTCTACAGACTACTATACTCTATTCACTATCACTATATGGTAGTTAGTATTCGAGCAAGTATAATTAGTACAAGTGATATTCAAAGACATCTGACACCAGCATTGTTCAACGGCCTCCAATAGTTGTATCTGCAATTACAAAAGTGACAACGAGCATCACAAAACAATCAATCTGGGTAACCTACAGGGAATTTGGAACTAAACCCATTATTTTATCTATGAAGGTATTCTGTTCTCGTTCCACGGCTCATGTCTAGGGATATAGCTTAGTTTTTATTTAGTACTACTCAGTACTTTAGTATTGCCCACCCATTTCCACTTCCCAATTCAGGGATTGAACTCACAAATCACTCAGTTATGTGCCATGTGTGATACACGCTAAGGCGATCATGTATCTTTTGATACATGACTGACGAGGCAGATTTTTTTCCTGCAGTAGGTTGCCATTTCTTTTTGCGGTAGACCAGTTGCCATCCAAGGCTAGAGAACCTGATCTGTCTTGCTATTTACCCATAGCTGGTGGGAGAAGAAGAGGATTCATACCTTTCCTAATGGTATTAGAACGTAAGCGAATGTAATGGATTTGACTGCAATTCAAACTCAGCTCTCCAATTCCTCAATCCAAGCTGCTATCCATTACTCCACTGTATGTCATCAAATTCACAAATCAACACTTTAATCCACTAGGACAATTTACTATAGTGAACTTGGAGCCTTAAACCTAACCTGATTGCTGATTAGAGTTGCTGCTGCTGTGTCATGTTTTGAAAAAAAAAAAAAAAACATTAAAAATAGCACCTGAAGTATAATAGCAAATTTTTTTTTACTGCATACCAATTTATTGACTAGTATCCTCATCTTGGTTGTTATCACCATAACAGTTTGGTTGTTGTACTCTTCAGCCTTCTAGTTCCGTTCATATTTGATAACCACTTTGACATTTCAAACTGAATCATTTTATTTAATTCCAAGAGCTATACTGATGTCATTCTGCTAGCCATGCTAGAAGTTATCCTGTAGCAGTTAATTCCTTTTAAATTCAATTTGGCCAAGTGATGTCTTCTATAAGACTACTAGCAGTAAAGCCCAGCATTGCTCAGGGTTCCATGTAGTTAAATTGCTTTGGGGTTTGAATTATTGAACTTACGCATATATCCGCAGTTGTTGAGGTCATTGATAGTCCGGGAATCTCACTGGTAGCAAAATCAATGAGATCACGGGCAACCGATGGCAATAGGTGGCTGCTGTGTTGCTGCTCCATGCTTATCTGCAGACTGCCACCCGTTCATAATCGGTCAAGATTTTTAATTCTGGCAATGTAAAATAGTAGTTGCATTTTCACTGTAGGACTCACCCCTTCACTATTAACTCCATAAGTTTTCCCAGTTTTAAGCGGAATACGCGGGCGTTAATGTCATGTCTGTGAGTGTAATCCTGTCCAGGGAGGAGTTTACACATTATCTCAACCCATTTGGGGTTGCAGGTAAATGTCATAAGTCTGGCTGCCCATATTGCCTAACATATGTCATAGCGTCCTGCGTGTGTTCATGCATGTGTGAATAACAATCAGCTGTACAGTCTGTAGTGTAGAAGTCTCAGTTGAACATACGTTTGATTGGTGTATTCGCAAATTCCGATGAAGACATGAATGTATCAACTTCCCTCAGGTATTAATTGGTGTGGGGAAAATTGTGAAAACGGCTTACCTCGGAAACACCCACTAATCTGTGTGTTGTGCAAAATTCAGCTGCTCAACGGTAAAAAGAACCAAAATTTTTAAAAACAAAGAACAGCACCTCAAAACTATAAGGCGATTGCTCAACGTGAGTTTGGTGGATATCACTTTAATTTGTGAAAAGTCTCACTGAAAAACTGATGAATATTTTTCAAATCAATATTCGACCCCCTATCAGTTTTATCAATTTTTTCCAAAATCAGAAGAACAATCGAAAAATCCGAAGACATCAAGTACAAATGCCGAAAATTTCCAATCTGTGAGTGAATTTTCATGCCAATCAGATGAACGGTTTGCTCAGGATGAGGTAACAAGTTGATAAACACACAGACACACTAACAGAATGGCATTTATAGATATAGATACAACTTCATATTATCTGATCCAGGAATTGAACTCATGGCTGCTACACAACAATTTGCTTAAACAATGCTTTCATCCATGAGACCATGTGTCCAATAGAACTAGAGTACAGAACTTTTTCTATCGTGTATTAGGTAGTGTACTTTTTTAGCCATGTGTCCTTTCTCTCTTAAAGGATTCCGAAATGGCATTCATTTCTATGCTACTCCTATTGATGAGGCTATTGGTGGCCACTACATACACCAATTCATTCAAATACCTTTTCTTTCAATGTTATTATTTTAATTTAATTCTACATGGGTGCAAGATTTCATTGTCTTCCCAATGTTCTTTCAGTCTTAATTTTAAGGGACAGTTCATATTGCCTGTCACAACTTTATGAAATTAAATATTTATCATTTTTCATCATATTCTCTTCTGAATGATGCCCTTGTTTGGAAAGAAGGTCTGAAAGTAGGGGAACACTTTTTGAATATTCTGATGTGGATTATAAATTTTAATTTTTTCTGACAAGCCCCAAATTTATCCTGTTTGCAATGGTGAAAATCTAAGCTCAAGTATTGTCCAATGAATGCTTACAATATTCAAATGTATTGAGCCCATACTTATGTGCAAGTTACTAGCACATTCAGGAAGACCAGTTAATTCTTTTTATGTGAAAATAGGGTCATTCCAGACAAATTCAACAAGGTTCCAGTATCAAGGTCTTCATTTTTTTTTTTTTTCTTCTTGAATGTTCACATGAGAAAGGTATTTTCTGAAAAATTCACCTTCAGAGACCCATCCATTCTCGTTTTATGGCTGCTCAAAATTTTGTGACTTCTCTGCAAATTTCTAGTTTTTGACTGTTCCATTTTCAAAGGTCAACACATCAGATAACCTTTGTTGCTAGGCTTAGAAAAACTATTTCCCAATAGTACACCAAGATTAGTTTTAAAAAAAACCCAAAAAAACAACAACAACAATGGGAGTCAGTGTTTTATTATATCTGACTAAAAATTATTACAAGCTGAAAATCTAAAAAAAAAAAAAAATGGCTCCAGAAAGGTAATTTATCCACTGTTTACACTCCTTTCAATCAGTACCAAATATGAAGTAAGTTATGCATGTAGTTATCAAAGCATTGCAATTCAGCTTTTGCAAGGTTTTTTTTCTTGGTCTTGGAAAATGGGAGGTGGGTCTATAAATGGGAGAAACTGAAAACTTTTTTCATTTTTATTAAATTAATTTTGCATTTTTATTAAATTTTAAACCTAAATAACTTGCTACAACAAACTTGAAACCATTAAAAACTATATATATTCTGAAAGTACATCTAGAGGTGTAGCAAAAAATAAAATTCAAATATATGAATCAGGGGGAGACTGAAAAAAAAAAAATGGAAATCTCCATAAAATAAATCACATCAAGCTTATCAGACTCATTTCATTTCCTAGCAACCTACATGATATCTACAATAACACCCAGATGAATTAGAACACTCTGTAAACTAACAATCACATAGAAGTCTTGTATTCATTCATCATTTAAAAACATAGTAAAAGCTTATGGACTCATTATTACTATAGTGCAACAACAAATATTTGATACTGAACTGAACTTCTGGTTAGGTCAATAATAACAGCAAAATCATGATCAAAGAATGATAAACAAAGTTATTCAAAGAAAAACTTTGAAAAGGGAGCAAAATATTATGAATATTATTAGGGAAGTCATAATAAATTTTGCACATGTCTTATCCGACTGAAACAATTGGAAATGATCCATAGTACCACACGACAGAGGATCAACTTTTGTAATACTGTCTTCTATCAGAGTCTAGTAGATGTCATGATTTGGTCAAAAGAACTAGGCAACCGGACCTTTTTAGATGAAGAAACATCACAATGCTTACTTTGCTATAAAATCAATTAATCTTTTGCTTTTCAAGGCTTGTAGCGCTACCATTTTTTACTGTCTTCAACAGTGAATATTCAAATAACTGAAGAGATTTGATGTTGTATGAATGGTCGATTCAAATGATGATTCATCTGCATGGATTCTCTTCCTCATCAATTTCCGCAGTTTCAGTGCTTACTGTAAACAACTTCTCACAATTCCTGCAGATTTTCTGTCCTGGCAGAATATCATAGTTTAGCCGGGACATCTGTCTATAATCTTCTAATGTCACCTCATG